CACAGATACTGCTCTTTATATTGTTTAGTAGAGGGGGGAAGATGCTTGATATGAGCCCCCTTTTCCTAGACATGAACACATGACAGTCAGGGAGAAAGAAAGTACTCATGAAAGAAACCAAAAATTACTGCTGCCAGCACTCAGTTCACCTTTTCCTACGCATTTAGTTCACCAAATTCAAGTATATTCTGCCTTTCTAGAGCTGAAATTAGGTGAAACAGAATACTGGAAGTGAACTTCACGCAGCTAACAGGAGTAAAGCAAACTTCAGTCTGAGATGGAGATGGCCATTTACTATCCACACAAGGATGTAGAGCTGCTGGACTGCTTTGTCAGCAGCCTCAGAATGGGAAGAGCTCAGTGAAGTACAGATAAAAGACAGCAAAATTATCAGTATTAGTAGTTGTCACTTAAATGACATTTTTAACCAGAACTCACTGCTCTGAATGCAGCTCTGAAAACTGATAAATTTGAGGACAGGAAGGTTCACAAAGTTTAACATTTGTTGCTCTCTTACATTTTGGGGGCTTTCTTTGTGGAGAAGGTGTCATAAATGAAATGATGCAATGTTTCTGCTGGTGGATGTTGTGCATTGTGTTTTTCTTGGTGCATCCTGCAGGATTACTACAAGACTGGGGTGATACGCTGTCCTGATGGGATATCTATTCCTGAATTGAGAGAAGCGTGTGACTATCTCTGTATCTCCTTTGAGTATAGTACTATAAAATGCAGAGATCTGAGTAAGTACAGAGTTTATTAAAATAATTTGAATTATACAAATTGACTTAAGTGCGTGTGTGTTAATTCTAAATCATGTCCTTTATTGAGATAAAGAAGATGGCTGGCACTACATGAATAAAATCCATCCCTTTTTATCTCTTATGTAATAAAGCCCTAAAACCAATGGATTGATGTTCTTTGAAAAATAATGTCTGATATTTCAGCATCTAATTCTGTGCCATGGTCACCCTGTGGAATACTTAGCTGTATGAGTCAGTACAGATACAGTAACATTCAGTGGTACCTTTTTTTGCAGAGGACAGGGAGGATCATTTTTCAGCTCTTTGCTTAGGAGAATGGGGCTGTCTCCCTGGTGGCAGTAGCACAGCTTTGCTGCTGGAGTGGGCTGCTCCAGGATTCCCAGCACGTGCTGTTCTCTCTGGCTCCAAGGCCTGTGCCTCTGGTTACTGTGCTCTCCCTGTGTGTGCAGTGCAGGGCCAGCCTGTGGCATTCCTGCTGGGAATGCTGTGCAGGACCCCAGTGCCTTCCCTGGCAGGGCCACCCACCCTGCCCCATGCCCGAGCTCTCTGTCCTTACAGGGATTTAGCAGCGCCTGCCCTGGGGGCTTTGAGAAGCTTTGGTTTTAAGCTGCTGCTTATGAAAAGTGGGTTGTGTGCTCTGCTCTCCCAGCAACTGGCTTAAGTGATGTTTCTTTTAGGAAAACCAAGAGCCTTGCACAATTACCAAATATTTAGCAGTAGTGAAACGCACAGGAGGTCTCAAAGTCTGCCCAACACTATGTTAATATCTGCAGGACAGGCTGGTAAATATTCAAACGAGGTCTGAACCTACATCAGCTCATAGACTGTCTTTGCACCTGTCTGCAGTAATACTACAAGATAAATAAATCTTATTGCTTTCTTATTGCTGCCTTCATCTCTTTACCAAGCTCTCAAATGTGCCTATGCTTAAAATTTTCTTCTAGGTGCTCTCATGCATGAATTGTCAAATGATGGTGCTCGCAAGCAATTTGAGTTTTACTTGGAAGAAATGATTCTCCCATTAATGGTAGCCAGTGCCCAAAGTGGAGAGAGGGAGTGCCACATTGTTGTGCTGACAGATGATGATGTTGTTGACTGGGATGAAGAGTATCCCCCACAAATGGGAGAGGAGTATTCACAAAGTAAGTTTATCCTCATTGTTCCCACCAAGCTATGCTGTGGTAGAGGTAGCAGTGAATGTGCTGATTTAAAGTTGTTGTACAGAAATGAACCTCTTAGTTTGAGTAGTTCTGCTTAATATTTTGTTTCACAGAAGCATATGTTGCTTGTTATCTTCAAATGTAATTAAAAAGAGAAGCTAATTTTTATTATTAAGGTATTGTTGGCCAGTGAGGAGGGAGAAAATACTTCTTCAGAAAGAGCTTGAGGAGGGAAATAGGTAGGAGTCATGTTTACTGTGGGAGAACAACTAGAGGTTTCTTTGAGGAAAAAAACAAATGTTACTATTTTTGGAGTATTACAGTTGTGTGGATGATGAGTTTAAGCACCTGTAAATGGACCGCACTTCCCTGCAAGATGTGCACCCAACCCATTCCCCAGTATCTTCAGCTGCTGTTCTCTAGAGTTCTTGAATTTCTCCCCCTCTTCTGAAATAAAAATACTACAGTAAAGCAAAACAGTGGAAAAGATAAACTTTTGTGTTTTAAGGCTAGAAGGTTAATATTTGAATACAGGGATTTTTTTTCTGATTAAAATGTATTTTTAGTTATTTACAGCACAAAGTTGTATAGATTCTTCAAATACATTGAAAACAGAGACGTGGCCAAATCAGTTCTGAAGGAAAGGGGGCTCAAGAAGATCCGACTGGGCATCGAAGGTAAGGGAAACATTGCCTGTGTTCTCCCTCGTTGGCCTTCAGGCTCTGCTGCACTTCTCTGCTGCATGTAGCTGGAAAAGCACGGGGTCAGTGCTGTCTTTCCTACTGAGGCTGGTGGCAGAATGGCCAGAGGGGGAATGGTACCCAGCTAGAGACCTGACTATGGGCTCCAGGCTGGTGTCCAAGCTGTGGGCTCTGTGCAGACAGCTTAGATGCTTTCTACTGCCTTCATGACCTGCATCTCATGCCCTTTGCCCTTTAGTTTCCACAAAATCTTCTCTGTGCTTTGTCTGAAGTAACAAGGCATTTGTACAGCTTTGGATATTGTGTTCTTGGGCTGTATTCTTTCCAGGGTGCAAAATGAAAAATGTCATGTTAAGTGTCAGGCAGACATTTTCTTTCAGGAAGTACAAAACTATCCAGTGGATCAGTGAAATGAAAAGAAATACTGATCTGAAATAAACATCACGTAAGTTAGGAGGCTGCTCTCTAATATCTGACTGAGTAATCTGATTTTTAACATGAATGTAAGAACTGGATTTCTTTGCATTACATTTTTCTTCTGATTGCTGACCCAGATATTTTAGAATCCAGCCTTTATAATTAGCAGGATTTCTATCATTCACTTACCAAGTTGTCATAGTTACGTTTGTAATTTGCCAAGAAAAAGCAAATGCTTTTAAGTGGTGAGCCCTAAAATAACTAATTTCAACTGAACAAGGTGGGAGCCTTTTAGCTAAACAAGAACTGGCCCTGCCTGTAATGCTGGCTAATAGCAGATTATTTCTGCTGGCATTTCTTGGTTTGACAAGGAACAGCTGTGGCACCAAACTGTGATGCTGGTGCCCTGCACTAATGTGTAAAGTGAACATTATTGATGGGGCACAGGGAGAGGTGACTTGAACACAGCACAGCCATGTGCACTGGCAGTGCCAGCAGCTGCTGTGCTGTGTCCCACAGCGCTGGTGGGGCTGTGCTCTGTGTCCCACAGCGCTGGTGGGGCTGTGCTCTGTACAGTCAGTGCTGATGTTGCCGTGCTCCTGCCTTTGCCAGGTTACCCCACGTACAAGGAGAAGGTGAAGAAGCGGCCGGGCGGGAGGCCGGAGGTGATCTACAACTACGTGCAGAGGCCGTTCATCCGCATGTCGTGGGAGAAGGAGGAGGGGAAGAGCCGGCACGTTGACTTCCAGTGTGTGAAGAGCAAATCCATCACCAACCTGGCGGCGGCAGCAGCAGACATCCCGCAGGACCAGCTGGTGGTGCTGCACCCCACGCCGCAGGTGGACGAGCTGGACATCCTGCCCATGCACCCCGCCCCCAGCAGCAGCGAGCCGGAGGCCGAGGGCCAGAACCCCCCGCTCTGATGGCGCTGCCCCACCGCAAGCATGCTCCTCCAGTGACTGTACCCAGCTCATACACACTGCAACGCCAGTTTCTCCATTGTGTTCCGGTGTTTAGGATATTGCAGCAGGGACCTGGCACGGCCCCAGGGGATGCCTGGTGGCTCTGGGAGGAGCGCAGCCCCGGCGCTGGGCTCGGTGACGTTCGTGTCTGTGTTTACCAGTAGGTTTGTGACGTTGGTGACTCGTGAGCTGGCCTGGCCCCGCTCCGCGGCCCCGCAGCGCTGTCGTGGCACGGGGTTAGGAAGCAGAGTGGGAATTGATAGTAGCACTTTACAAATGGTTGAGAAATGGAATTTGAAGCCATTTTTTATAAATGTATTGCACAATACTAACAAAGTGCTTCTATCAAAGGTATTAACTGTACATAGTTTTGCTCTGAATAGATTGACCCTTTTAAAGTTATTGTATATGGTTGAGCACAAAACTACTTACTCTTGGGTTTTTGGATTGAGGACGTGATTCAATGACCCATGTAACATCTTGTTCAAGTTCTTTAGTGAATTTTTTCACTTGTTTGCAGCGTGAGCCATGTTCAAAAATTGTGAACAACGGACAGGGGCTTTATCTTAAATTTTGCCTTACCTTAAGCTGTTCACAAATATTTATTTAATACATTTTTCATAAGTGTCATGAAATAGGAAAATGCAAATGGTTCATTCTTCATTTATTAATGATTGTAAACAAGTTTTTCATGCAAATAAAGTTTCCATTATTTTAATGGGCTTGAATTATCTGTGAATTACGAATTTTGCCAGTAGTTGCTTTTGTTTCCTCAGGGGAAGGATTAATATTAAGTGAAAAACAAGTGTTTCTTAAAGATAATCAGCCTATTTCAATGCACCTGCCTGTTGTGCTTTTCTCAGGATCAACTTGGATGTAGGAATAAGTAACAATAGCTTCTTGGGGAATATTGTCATGACAAAGTCATCTAAGTGTAGGTAAGGCACTGGCTTTCCTCCCTTTTCCCCCAAGGCTAAAGAAATGATAAATACCAAGTGCTTCTAGCATGCACCTTCAGCAGGGTTTTATCAAATTTATTTATCAAAGTAAATGCTCCATCTTAGAACAAGGGAAACATTTATTTTAAAAATATTTAACTGTCTAATACATTACACTTTAACAATATTTATAGTAAAGGATTCTTACAAGAAAGAATAAACAGCTTTATGGTACAATTAGTATAAGAAATATCCACATGGGGACTGTTTTGCAGTGTAAAAACACACCATACATCTGAAATGGTCATTTGCATATAAAAGCTACCACTGATGCCAGTGAGTCGCACAGTGATTTAAAAAAAATTTCAAACAACAGAATCCAAAATATACAAGTATTGCAAGCTATACACAGCTAACCAAATCAACACAGAACACTGTAGCAGGTTATTCCACTTTGTCTGAAGTTACACATGGTAGGATGAGTTGCATTCTGACACAGCTTTTATGAAGTTCCCACATAAAAGCCTCTCAGTCCCACGCGTTTCCCAGAGTGCGGAGCTGCAGCAGTAAATGCACTTGGCTGTGGGTTGCTCACAGGGGCCAGGGCAGGTCGCTGAAGTCCACGGGGCCGCCGAGCCCCGCGTCGGCCTCCAGCAGGCTCATGATGACCGCCATGGCCGCCTCGTCGTTGCTGGGGCTGCTGGAGCCCTGCTCCGTGTCGATCATGTCCATGCCGATGTGGGAGTTCTCCCCTGCAGGGAACGGCACAGCCAGCGCCTCAGCGGGGCTGCTCCCCTCCCTGCAGCGCCCCGCGGGGCACGGCCGGGCTCTGGGGCCACCACAGCCCCGGGAGGGACTGGGTCACTCCCCAGCAAGGGCACCGCGCCTCACAGGGACAGCCTGAGTGCCAGACTGCACGCACAACACTGCAGCAGCTGGAGAGCTGCTGAGCTACTTCCCACTGACTCAGGAAAAGAGGCTTCCAAGCACTGCCTAAGGAAATTCCAGCATGAAGGAACTTTACAAAACAGGCTGCCAGGCGCCTCTTTGGGCACACAGAGTGCGTGGCTGTGGGCTTTATGCCTCAGCTGGAGCCTGCAGGTGGCAAAAGCAAATTACTGCTAAAACCAACCAGCGTCCATGTGTGTTCAGCTGGTACTGGGGGTGCTCACGTGTGACTTCACTTACCCAGGATAGAGGAGTTGTCGGAATACGGGTAGCCAGAATTATCCTGGATTTGCCCAGACAGCAGCCCAGCTGAAGAAATGTCTGGAGTGCCACCATTCAAGATCTTGAAAGACAAAACAGAAGCTCTAAAGCAGCATGAAATGGTGCATTAAGTTTTAAACTGTCCTGAAATTTTTAATATAGGGTAGATGAACTTCCCAAAATAACCCTGTGGTTTATAACAAACGATCTTCTAAACAAGGAGAAATATCTAGGGGGTGCTGAAAACACCCAACCCTCCGCCTGCACTTTCCTTTATGCCATGCCAGCAGCCCCTATTCTGTAACATGTTGAATACTGCAGGGCAGAAGAAGAAAGAATAACTATTACCAGAATTGTAACTGTTCCAACCTGGTGTTTTATTTCAAGAACAAAGCTGGGAATAGACAGAAATATTTACTGTCTGTTCCTGTACAAGCAATTCTTATCAGCAAGTCATAATTTCTGAGAAAAAAAGGTTGAGTAAGTCTGAAGCAGTGCATAAGGATCTGGGTAAGTGTTCTTGCTTTGGATAAAACTTCCATAAGCATTTAGAGATTGCTGGAAGCAGCCAGGACAGGAGTTCGGGTGGCTCAGTGCTGGTAATGGCACCTGAGTGCTACTCAAGCAATCTTAGAGCAAGGCAGGTGCATGGCGTTGATTTAAAAATAACTCAGAGTGCCCGTGCACCCAGCTGTGCTGGTTTGTGCTCAGGAACACCGCTGGCATTGGCTCGGGCACAGCCGGTGCTCCAGTGCCAGCACTGCCAGCCTCCACCAGCACGGGGTGTCAGAGAGTTTTTGGAGGGTGGAGCGACACGGGGAGAGCCGTTCCTTGCAGCTCTGCTGCAAACATCCAACCTAAAGGGCGGGTGAGTGCCAAACACTGCTGGAGTTCGGGACGTGCTGCTGGCAGTGCTGTGCAGGGGGTGTGACCACCTCAGGGCTTCGGCCGGGCCCCTTTGCCAGCCCAGCGGGCAGGAGCTGTTCCCTGAGCACAGTCCCACGTGCCCTGCCCTGGCTGCCCCAGCCAGGGGGAAGCTTGTTCTTACCTTCTTCCCTCCTGGCGAGGATGTGTCGGGTGGGGGGGTGCTGGTGATGTTCAGGGGACTTGAGCCACAGCTGGAAGGTGATGATCCCCTTATCCTAAAACATGCATAAAACAGGGCATGCATTTACAAGCCACTCAGAGACTTGGAGTTTCAAATACTGACTTCGGTATCAGGTGCCATAAGACGCAAAAAGCAGGAGCTTCATTTTTGTAATCTCCCTTTTTCAGTGTTCCTCACACCAGCAGGAGCAGCAAGGCTGTTATTTGCAGCCAGACCAAGAGGCCTGTGTAAATCCAGCCTGCTTGGTCTGCAAGCTTTACTTCCTCCCTGTTTTTTTTCTGGACAGCCTTCACAGAGTCAGAAGGAAAAGGTCCTGGCTGCTAAGGAAAGCCTCATTTTTGAGTATTTTGCTTCAAGTTCCACCAGCTAAGAGTTCCAGCTGCCTCAGTCACACTAACCCAGACTCCTCCAGTGAGCTCCTGCTACAGAAGGCCACTGGACACTGGACGGTTTGTAACTGCTCAAAGCCACATTGTTCACTTCCATTTTCCATAGCCTGATCAAACATCATTAATAATGTATTGACTGAAGCACCAATGAATCTCCAGACCAAAGGGAGGAGGGGTAGTTACAGAGAAAAGCAATGGAAATGGGATTCTTCTCCTTGGCAGAGTTCCCCTGGGAAAGCTGAACAGAAGGCAGCTTTGGAAAATAGTAACAGCTGCTCAAAAAGGACTGGAACTAACCCAGGGTCCGAACTGAAATGCAAACACGGGTGCTAACTGCACTACTACACTCACTTGGGCTAATTAAATGTTTTACAGCTACTAAAAGGGATGGTTAAGCTTCAAAGTAATGATTCAGCCATGTTTTTCTTCTTTTCCTCTTTCCCCTTTTTCCTATTGCTACAGAGAGGAATGAAGCCTTAGGGATAGATCTGCTGCTGCCTGAAGTGAGGACAGAGGGAGTCTCCTGCCTGCAGCAGGAACAAAACTGGGAAACAGACTGAATGTGTTCCTGGACTGCAGCTCAGTCTGGTTAAATTGCTACCTGAACATCTGCTGGGTGAAACCCCTTTTATAGGAAAGGGAACACAGCTCCCAAGAGGAAATCAGTGGGGAACAGGGATTTTTAGCCAACAGAAATGAAGTGGTACCCACTGAAAGCAGCTGCTCACACAGGTGAGAACACGAGAAGCAGCTGTGGATCCCCACAGTCCCTCAGTGACCCTGTGCTTGACCCAGCCCCACAGCCTGACTGCATGGCAAGGCCCCAGCATTGTGTCCTTGCTCCAAGAGCTGCAGGGGAACTGCAAAGCTCATCATGCACATCTAACAACCCCAAAAGCATCTGAGCAAATGGGCTGCACGAAAACAAACATTGCTGTTTTGGCACACAGTCAATAGCTTTGGCATTTGAAGGTTGTGCCACTCACAGCCTCAAGTCACTGGGAAAAGAACAGTCTGGAATGGATTTGTTTCTAGGTAGCTGCTCTTTTTAACTCCTCTTTCTGGTAAACAGGCCATCATCCTCACCACTGCAAAGAAATGCCAGTATCAGTCTCTTGCAGCAGGAAGCTGGAAGGCTGTAACTGCATGCTTTCCCTGTGGGGGCTGACTGCCTCAGGGAGGCTGAACAGGAATCTGTAGCTGTCTCAGTACAGTTGGATCATTCCTTATTCAGCTTGAATAAATTGTTCTTTCAGAGGAAATTAAGGAAGTCTAATTCCTCTTAAAGAACAGGAATAAAACAATTTAACTTCACACCATTTTCTCTCACCTGTGAATCTCCATGATTTCTTCAGCAATCATCCTCCCTATTTTACCTGCCCCAGCTCTTGTTCCACCTGGAATTCCAGGCACAGTGGGATGGGTCCTTTTGGGGCCACCTGAAATGAGCAGAATTTTAAGGTCAGAGAAAAGCTTGCAAACCTTCTCCACAGGGCACCTGTGTTTAGGCTTTGAGTGGCTGCAGGACCTGAACAGGATTTATTGACAGTTCCAGCAACTGCTGAGTGCCTTCAAATGGATGAGAAGTCTGGCTTGCACTGGGCTGTGCTGGGTCTCAGATGTCCCTCTGTGCCAGCAGGGACAGGACAGTCCCCAACTCTTTTAGAATCTGGCTGTTCTCTTTCAGAATTGAGCACCTGGTGCTACTTCTTGTCCAGATCTGGTACAGCATGGCCTTGTCAGACCTGCCCCGCTCTGTGCCCAAACAGGCTCTTCTCCAAACATGTTTGCTCTCTGCTTTGTGTGAAGAACTTGACAGTGCATATTCCACTCAATAGGAGATAAACCCAAGGCAGCTGATGACTGCAAATGAAGCCCCTGCAGGTAACTGCAGGAATCGAAAAGTGAAGGGGAAAGTGAGGTCTGAGCAGTTAGGAGCTGTTACTGCCATGTGACTTCACACTTGGGAGGTTGGAAAGAACACCTCCACTTGGGAGGAGCACTGGGAAAGAGCCTGATATACTCCAAGCAGAGAAAAGCCCCCAGTGAGAGGGCAGGAAAGGCCTCAGCATTGCTTATGCAGAATGGATAATGCATCTGGAAATGCATATTTAACAACAGCAACCCTCAGCAGGCGTGGCTCAGACCCAAAGCTAAATCTCATTTTCCTTAGGATATCAACAAATCTCAGTGCAGAAGGGAAGCAAACGTGTGCAGGCAGGATGAGCTGCTCCCAAGGCAGGAGAGCCAGCGATTCCTGAGCCCAGGAGTTACCTTCTCCAGCCTGGAGCACGCTGTCCATGCTGTGTGGGGACGCTGCCAGCTGGGGAAAGGCCGCGTCCCCGCTGTCCAGGACCGTGGTGCTGTGGAGTGCAAGGATGAGAAAAATCAGGCAGAGACAACCCTACAGGTGGAAAACCCTGGCAGTGATTAAAACCCAGGTCATGCAGCCGGAGTTTCAGCATGGAATGCTTCAGGGTTTCAGCAGTGTCACCTCTGTGACTGACACCAGGGCCGGATAAATAACAGAAATCAACCACCCTGCTCCACCTCAAAGTGTGCAGTGCAGGATCCCAACAGCTTCTCAGCACAGAACTCCTCTACAGCAACTATTCTGCTGAGAAGTCGCCTCAAGAGAAAGGAAAAATGGGGGAAATACCTGCCAAAGCAAAGAAATGCATGCCCCTTATGTTCCTACAAAGACCAAATCCCAGCTTTTCCCAAAGAAAGAAAATATTTCTATTTTCTGCAAGCTTTAACAACCAGAAATTAAATTACTGCAATTTTTAAACTAAACCCTTTCTCCCTGGGGTGTTGTCTGGAGAAGACACCTACTGTCATACGTATTTAGGTCAAATCTCACAAGAGAAAAGGGCAAAGCCATGGGCATTCCCAGGCACCTGCTGAGGGAAAAGCACTTACGAAACGACTGTGTTTGTGGAGACAATGTATTCTACTTCTTTGGTCCAAGGGTTCATGAAACTGAACCAGCGACTCCGCAACGTAATAAAAGAGCCATCTTTTATTTTAAACTTGTAGCAGTTAGTTGTAATTTTTTCTCTTGTCTGCAAAACTGAAGACAGGTAGAAAGCAAGTCATTAATATCAAGCAGGCACCACAACATAAATAGAGCCCTTATCAGGGAAAACCCTGTTAATTCCTCCCCACATCCCTCAAGAAAAATGCTATTCCTCCCTCATCCCCCTCACCCAGCCTGAACCTCAAATATTCCCTACAAATCCATGCAAGTCTAAGATAATCACAGTGTTTGGCACATACAACACAACGCTCTTGACTTTGCATTCGCAAACAGCAATACCCAAATCTTTTCAAGTCTGCTTGGTTTCCTTAAAACACAACAACTGTTTCTAATATTTTGAACAAAATCTCTTTCCTGAATTATTAAGAACCGTACCTTGTCTGTGACATTCTGCAAGATGTGCTATATCATCTTGATGAAAGTATTCATAACACGAAGTACCTAGAAGTTCCTGGGGTAAGTATGCCAGGATGGCTGTTGCCCTGGGGAAGGGAGGGAGAGGAAGAAATTAAAAAAAAAAAAATCTTTTCAAGTTGAAGTATTAGTCAGAGATTCCTAAAGCTCACAATGAGGTTGGGTAAGGCTCAAGTATTGCGGAAAGGAATTTTCGGCTTAGAAGGTAAAAAAAATTCCTTAAGAATACTATTTTTAATTCTCAGGTAATTAAAAAAGTACCTAACACCCAGAGCCCTCAGGTATTACATTTGACCTACCATCACCAGAGGGGATGTAAGACTTTCTAAATAGCTTTGAAGATTTGCTGTAACTTTGGGAATTGAAGGCTGAAAAAAGCTGCCTTGTAGCAGCCACAAGATAACACGAAGCTTTCTGCACAAAGTGCACAACAGACATCAAAGGTTTGGAGAACTCAGGAGTTCAGGAGCGGGACAGAACAACACCACACCAAACTTAACTTGCATTTTGTACATTTCTTAGAAGAAAATTCTTAAACTTCTTAGATGAATTTTCTTAGGAAAAAATTCTGTGTTTCTTAGAAGAAAATTACTGAGGGAGAAGGGATGGTTCATTGAAGAAGCTGAAATAAGTGTCACAATTCCAAACCATTCCAATTCAAATTAAACATGAAGGGCAATAAGGAACAAACCCAGGTAGATCAGCATCTTTTCTGCAATCTCAAAAAAGCCCAAATTAAACACTCTAAAATGCAGAAATTAGTAGATATTAATGATTATGAATACGAACAGGAGGAAAAAAGCTGAAGCACAAAATCCATGGTATTTCAATATGGGACATTTTTGTATCTTCCCAAACACAAGAGATTTCAGCACCAGCTGAGGCCCCCCTTGACAGGGAGACCAATGCCCTCAGCCTTGGGGAAAGAAACAAGAATTTAAACTGACTTTCGTAGGGTGAACTTTATGCCAGGCCACTTAAAACTCAAAAAAAACTCACCAAAGCAATCTCTAAGAGAACCACAAAGCAGCAAAACCAAGCCTATCTTTAAAATGGAAGAGCTGGGAACCCAGTCAAGCTGATTCCAGTATTTTTCCAAGAACTTTAGTAACCAAGGCTTTTAGCAGCACAGCTGTGGTGGGATACCCACACAGATGAGGAACAACCAGCATCAGCAGCTACAGGTAATTTGTCAACCCTTTTATTTTTACAGCAGGTGCTGTGGAAAGGAGAATCTGCACCAAATTACAGACATCAACAGACTGGGTGCATTCAATATCTGACCATGTTTTATTATGCAAGGAAGGAAATTGTTTGTGTCCTTCTGGAATTTCATCCTGTATTTACTTTTTTCCTCAGCTCGCTTCTCCAACTTAACAAGGCAGCTCTGAACCCTGAAGCTGTATCTGATGACATCTGCATAGATAATAAACTCAATTTTACTCTCAAATTCAGCATGCAGACCAATTAGAAGTCCTGAATAAGTGAGAGGAGAGATGATTCTCTTTAAAACTCTGCTCAGTGTAGCTGCCATTCCAACAGAGAATTGTTAAGCAGTTCCCTGGCTCTGGCAGCTCAGCTAACTGGTACCTAAATCCACTGCTGTGCTTCTCCAGGGACCATGAAATCCAAGAAGACAGAAAAGGTCACAAGGAGTTTAGGAAGTGTTTCTTTCTTGAGTTCCTTGGACAGATGATAAATGAACACTGCAAGTCTATAAGAGCAAAACAACCCAACTTGGAAATAAATTGTTTTCAACTTTTACAGGTGCCTATATATTCTCCAGGAAAAGCAAGGATCATTGGATGTCAGCTTCAGGCCCACAGATGAGGCTTTCTTCTAAATAAATTCCCTTTCAAAGAGTCTTTGAAGTAGCATAGACATCCCAAGGACTGTAAACAACAGCTGGAAAGCAATTCAATAAAAGCATATGTGTTTAAATTCAATGGGTCAACATTTTCTGAGTCTCATTATTTTAGAAATGCCTTCAAACTACACATCAGGGGAATAAGTCTGATCTTTTGAAAATAAAACTTGTCTATAAACAAGACAGAATGGCATTTTCTGAGCAACAGAAAGCTATGAATGCTCCCACAGCTCCCAGAGTGAGCACCAGCTTCGAGCACTCAAGAGTTGGTATTTTCAAAAGCTTTCTATCAAATTAAAACCAAAACCACCCAACCTAACCAAAACCCACAAACCAAACCACTCCAAAACAGATAAGTAACATAAAAAAAATATTCTCTGCACTTGCTTCCTCCCATGACTATCCTCTACTTCCTCCCAAAGGGCACTAAAGATCAGCTGTGTCTCCCCTGAACCCAATTCCAGCAGGCAGATTCTGTCAGAGTTTGGAGTTTGGGTTTTTCTGTGTGTGAAGCAGCTGAGCCAAAGCCACAGAGAAACTGGAACAGCCTCATCTGGGCAGTCTCAATCCCTCTTGACAAGGAAGGGAACCAAGCAACCCCTCTCCAACCAACCCAGAGTAACCTCTCCTTTAACATCCTTCAACCTCCTACTTTTCCCTCCACAATCCAGTAATTTTCAAGGAAGATTCAGGTCATATGTGCCTGCTACTGAAGAAAATTCAAGCCCTTTCTTTTGGAAAAGGAAAGAATTAGCCTTTTAGCTAACAAATTGATGTTTGAAAGCAGATACCACACGGGCATAAGCTCTCAAACGGTTTCCAAGAGATAACCCTCTTGAAAAGCTTTCCTTCTTACAAACACAAAGGGTCCCAGAGAGAAGCATTAATCCAGCAGAATGTGTCCTAGTAAACAGTTATGTAAGTGTACATGCTAGCAAAGCCTAACCCAGCCTCTGCAGTCTCTCAACTGCCTGGTGTTTGCAGGAGGTTTCAAGTAACAGAGGCAGCAATTAGGGTCCAGTTTCAAAACATTTTCTTCTGAAGATTACATACATACATACATAACCCCCCCAATGAATTGGCAGAAAAGATCCTGGTGTTATTCTGCCACATTTTTGGAAGTTTGGGGGATTTTTTTAAAAATTTAATCCGTCACACTGAATTAATGCATAGTAACAGCTTTGAGCTCCACCTCAAAAGCCAACCCAGTAAAAAAAGCTAAGAAGGGCAGCAATTTCTTTTCCCAGTGGTGTTTCCGCACCGCTGCAAGGCAAGCTGCTGGTGAGGCAGTGCTGGGCAGTGACCCAGGGTGGAAGCTGCTTGGGGAATTCTCACCTCTGATCTACGAAGACGAACTTGCCGTCGATGGCGTGCCGGGACACGTACTCCGTGGGCTTCACCCGGATCTCGCCGTTCGCCGGCTGCGGCACCACGTGCGGATGGAGCCTCCCGATGGCAACAAGGCAGCTCAGGTTACAGCCCTCGTTGTCTGGCTCGTTGTCTTCATCCAGGCCCATCTTTGTTGGAGGCCAGCTTTTTAAGTAGCCTGTGCTATGAATAGTGCAAAAGCTTTTGCGATCTGCTGTGAAAAGAAAAAAAAAAAAAAACAAACCAAAAAAAACAAACCAACAAAACCCAAGAAAGCAGTTAGGTCGTGGGTACAGCTTTGGAGAACTTCAAATCAGTTCTGCTAATAATGCACCTCCTCTCTTATGCAGGAAATTTGGGATACTCTTCACTAAGGAGGAGCTGGGGGTGTTCAGCCTGGAGAAAAGGAGGCTCAGGGGAGACCTTACCACTCTAGAACTGCCTGACAGGGGGCTGGAGCCAGGTGGGGATCGGCCTCTCCTCCCGGGCAGCCAGTGACAGGATGGGAGGACACAGCCTCAAGCTGCACCAGGGGAGGTTCAGGTTGGACATCAGCAGGAATTTCTTCACAGAAAGGATTGTTAAGCATTGGAAAGGGCTGCCCAGGGCGGTGGTGGAGTCCCCATCTCTGGAGGTGTTCAAGAAGGGACAGAGCACTCAGTGCCACAGTCTGGCTGACAGGGGATGTTTGGTCAAAGGCTGGGACTCAATGATCTTGGAAACCTTTTCTAGCCTTAATGACTCTGTGATTCCAAGGGATTTTTCAGCACTCCTGCTGTAATGCAGCTAATCTGAGCTAATCCAATAAACAATTTATCTTGGCAAAACCACTGTTTATGCTGAAACATCACATAGCTCACATCCAGGCTGCTTTTGGTAATTTGGAGCAGAAATTGCATCACATTTTATTATTTCAGCAAAAGAGGTGAATAACGCAAAGGAATGTATGAAGAAATTAGTAGATTAATAAATAAGATGCCTCTTTCATCTTAACCTGAGGCTCCTATAAAAACCCATGTTTGGCAGAACATACTCTGTCTGGGGTGTACAGGGGACAGCTGTACACAGGGATGATGAAGATTTGCAATGGCCAGTAAAAGTCAGTGTCCAAAAGAATTCCTATTCCTCAGCACTGAGCAGGCTTGAAAACTCCAGGGAAGATGACTTTCATAGGCAGGTGGAGTAAAAGGCTTATGCCAACTACACAAACTGGCTTTCTCAGCAGTGAGCACAAAAGCAGGATCCAATGCTGAAGCTGGGAGTTGGGGCAGCTGCCACAGCCAAAGAATGCACCAAAATTGCCTCTGTTCTCTTGCTGTTTCACTTTAACTAACACCAAATGTATCATTCACAGTACTCAAAGAAGAAACCTTCACATTTGGGCTAAATATATATTCCAATATGCCTAGAATAAGAGCCTGCAGAGGAGAAAATATTACCAACACTGCTAATGCTACAAGCAAATATTCCAGGTGTACAAGTGCCACGTTTCCAGTACTCAGAATGTACCAAACCCACAGATGAACTTAGAATTACACTCATTTTTTGAGGTGGATATCCAACCACACATCAATGGGCAGAGAACAAGGAACAGCTCCCCTTTACTGGAGACATTGACCAGGCAGTCAAGACCGAACATGATCTGACCAATGTCTGAAGATGACGCAATAACCCCTCAGAGCTGCTGGCACAAACTGCCTGAGAAAGTTTCAAGAAAGCAGAGCGGAGAATTTGGCTTTAAATGCTAATACAGGTGTGTAAGAGATACTGGAGGGGTGAGAGGGAGTTTGAAGAAGTAACAGACCAAGACATAGCTCAGAATCTCAATAACAAACAACGATAAATGTAAAAAATTCAACCACTGCGAACGAGCAGCATTAAAAAAATCCTGACAGTCTTGGCAATAAAGGCATGATGGTTACCTTTCTTCTTCGAGCAGGTTGAAGGGAAATCCTTGTCTTCTACCTTGACAGAGGGCCTGTTGCACTTCATCCTGCAGAAGAAGGAGCGCCGTGCCCCAGAGCAGAGCCGCGAGGGCCCGGGCGTGATGTCCGTCTTGACCGGGAGTCCGGCTGCGCAAACAGCGAGGGAGGCAGGGTCAGTGCAGAGGGAACCACCCCAAAAACCCCACAAACCCCACCCCACAGTGCTTCGACCTCGCTGGGCCTTGCATCTCCTGGTTTTGAGGTTCTGATGTGTGTGATTGTGCAGGACACAGCTGACCATACTGATACCTCGGGTTTTATGTCTTTATTTTTGCTTTTTTTGTGCTGCTTTGGTCTGGGTGTCATATAAGGGGATAGTAAGGTATGGGTCTGGGTTTCATATTAGGGGATGGCAAGGTCTCTTCACAGAGTAGGCAGACACAACAACTCCTTCTCTAGCTGGGGACCCAAGGACAGCCAATCTGGATCCCAGCCCCAACAGCATACACAAGTGGACTGAAGAGAGAAAAAACAAGCAGGATGGGACTTCATGGGCTGGAGCTGTAATTGGACAATTAGCTCCAATATACTAATGGACCAAAACTTATAAAAATGTGAGATCTAGTGACCAAGCCCTCTTTTGCTTCCATCTTGAAGCCACCTGGGCAGAGCCATGGCTGTGGCTCTGGTACTGCCAGGGTGGCCTTTGAAGGCTCTTCAATAAATATCTTTTTTATTCCCCTTAACTCTGTCTAGCCTCTGTTCCAGCTGCTTAAGGCATCAATACCAACACTGCGACTTCTGCCTCTGCCTTCTGCTGTTAGAACACTGAGGTGAGCTCAAGAACACGGGCTCTGAGAGCAAAGGTCAGCAAGAGATTGGGCAAATCCACACAAGTCCTGTGATAAATACTGCAATTTCTCTGAACTGGTTAAAATAGAGAGATTACTTTTCCACAACCAGAGCAGAACTCCATACACAGTCACTTAGGAGGCTCCTGACCTTTCTGGCACTTTCCTATCACAACACCCTCCCAGAAAACATGGGTGCATATGGAGCAGGAAAACTCCAATGACACTCCAGGGAGAGACAGAGGAGAAAAGATAGCAGAGACCCACTCAGGAACTGGAAATCCCCAAGACCTCCTGTTATGTCTCAGAAGTCTCTCCTGCCTTGCAGAAATAATTGCACATGGACATGCCCTAACAATAAATCCTGACCTTTATCATATTCTCACAGGGGATTCTTTTCTGTGGGAAAACCAACCAAAACACGTCACTCTGAGCCACCAGCAGAGTGCTGGTACCACCAGGGCTCTGGGAAGACATGGAATGTTTCCATGGCATGCATCAGGAGCACAGGTATCAGCAAGGCCAGTGCTCCAAGGACTGGTGGAAGATTTAAATCACACAGCAACTTTTCCACAGCCTGCCATCCACTCCAACCACGTCTGCATGGGGATATGTAAAATCAAGCAGCTGTCAGCATGAACAAATCTTCTCAGGCCTTGTGGGCTTTTAACATAAGGAGGAATCCCAGCAATTCCAGTATTTTAGTGGAAAGTGTGCCTCCCTTCCAATTCCACTGGAGTGAGGTGACCCCCAGGAGGTCAGGCAGCCCTGCACCACATGCCCTCCAAACTGCTGCACCGTGGTGTGAGTACAAGCTGTGCTGAGTTACTCATGCCAAGACAAAAATAAATACGTGCATACATCCTCATACTCTTCACCAGTATGAGTTCTTGAAATTCTACCAATCTGTCTATCATAGCAGATGGGAAGACTGTAATTCATAGTATTTATTTTTGCCCTAACTTTGTCAGAGACACACAAAAAAAAAAGCCAACCAAAAACCAAAAAAAAAAAAACAGGAGGCAGCACTGGATATTCATGCTTGACAACCGATGAAACCAGGAGCCAGAAAAAACTTCAGCTGATTCTGCTGAAGCCTCCAGGCTCCCTGCCCTCAAATGATCTCTCTCAACTTCAGTTTCTGAAGTTGAGCTGGTGGCTTCTCTGAGCTGAGATCCAGGAGATTTCTGCTCCTGACAAGCATGAGACTTAATGACCTGGAAATCTGCAATTGTAAGATACCACCTTCCACTTAAGCAGTGCAGACTTCTGTTATGAGAGGGAATTAAACACCCACTCACCCCAAGAGCAACAGAGATTCAGAACTACTTTAAAATACCAGAATGGAACAGAACTAAGAGACATGGCAGGAAATGATTCCAAAGTTAAAATCCTTCTGAGAGAAAGGTTGGGTCATTGATGGCAGTAAGCAATAAGTAAGTAGATGAATAAAATGAATCCTCTATCTTGGCTGACAGCTGAGGACTACCAAGATAATACTGAGTGTATTCTGACCATTTAGAATGATGGATTAGAAGAAATGCTTCATATGTTCTAAGGGAAAAAGTTAAAGCTTTGATGCCTGGAAGACAGAGTGTCACAGTGCATGCCAAACCCAACAGCTTCCAGGAACCTGTTTCACACTTTTTTTTCTTTTTTTGTTTCTTGCTGTCTTTAAGCTACAACTTCCTTGGCATGAGACAATCCAGGCAGCATCCCCCCACATCCCCACCCGTGACATGAGGCAAAGCCCCAGCAGCAGTGACTCTACATGACATTTTTCCCAAAGTTTGGAACACTCACTTTTTGCATCTATAAGTCTTTCTCGTGGCGCAGTGTCAGAAGAAGAGAGCTGCTCCTTCACTTTGGCAATGTCTTTAGGATGGAGATAATCAAATAAACTTTGACCAATCAAATCATTCTGTAGAGATTGAACATTCAGTCAAAAAGTAAAATAATGACTCAGTATGTTTTCTTCATTTTAGCACCCAGTATGAACAATCCTTTTACACATAGGTGTAACCAAGGAATACCAAACATCCAGATCCAGCCTCATTGCAGGGGGTTTGGACTGGATGACCTTTAAAGGGTCCCTTCCAAACAAACTATTTTATGATTCTGTGATTTGATGGAAGGTTTTCTCTGTGTATTGAAGTTATGACTACATTGCATCCTGTCATCATTTTCAGTAAGAGTTTTGCAGAACTGGCACACTCAATTCCCCCCCACCAAATATTCTGGTTACTACTCAGTCTTACTACCTCTACCACACATTTGAATGAAAAAAAAAAATCCTAATTGCAAATGTTCTCTTTCATTATTTACATATGCATTTAGTATATACCTAACTAAATGCTGGCTGAGGAAAACTTTTGAAGCTAATACAGGTTTAAATTTGATGAGGAGCGCAGATGACAGAAAGAATGAAGATTATTTACACAATATATGGTCCAACTTAAGCCTTATGTTGAGCATATATTAAAAACCTGGCTTTGATATAACTGCTTTCCAGTTTCCATCAGTAAGCATGCAAGCAAAACCAGAACAGGTAGAAAGAAAACTAAGCTAAAAAATCCATGTGATGCTACTGGAAAAACCCCAGACTGATGTTTCAATATTTGCTTACACTCCCAAATAGGTAATGCTTTTGCAAGCCTGAGGGTAAAATCCTTGAGCAGAATGCCTCAATCAGTGAATTAAATTTAGTTCCTTTTCACCTCTTGCTTAGAATGGAAACCAGAAACAATCTTCTCTAATGACATGGCAGAGAAAAGCTCTCTCTCTTTGCAACACCTCTCAGCTTTCAAGTCAGACTCTTCTCATGCCTACCCCCCAGATAAAGGCATAACCATCAAAAAGCTCTCAAATCTTTTAAGGTACTTAAAATGGAAAAGAATACCTGACTGTAGTTGAGGATCTTGAAGACAGATTCTGAAACAAACAGTATCTTTCCTCTGTCACAGCCCACAACAAAAAGGAATCCATCTGCTGCCTAATCGGGGGGGTGGGGGAGAAAGTCAAATCCCAAGTTATACATCCACATTGCACCATTATAACCTTTAAAAGCACTTTGTGTACAGTAGAATTTCTACACTAGGAGAGCTGTCTTAACATTTAGAGGTAACTGAGTCAACAGGAAAAAATGTAAAATTACAATGAAGGGGATTTTTTGCATCTGCAAACATTTTTGGCAGGATTCTGGGCATTGTGCCCAGAATGTAAAATAACTTTTATGAGAAGAAAGAACCCATGTCTTGTCCAATAATATTATGATTATGTTTAATAATGCCTTCAAATTAAAATGTTATTTTAACTGTACTTAAAAAAGCTCCTCTTTTAGAAACCAACCATAACCTGGATATTTATTTCTGTGCCTGGAGGCAATTAATTCCTATTTGCAAAGTATTGTCTTTTAGTCACACACAAGCAAAAATGTATCTTCAGAGTCACAATGCTGCAGAAATTAAATTCTGCATATACTGCATCTGGACACTGCAGTGCTTCAACAATTACACAGCCACTAGAAGAGCTGAACCACTGACTAATGAGTGAAGCTCTCCACACTATAAAAGGAGTACAACAGCAGGCAGTCATACACACTAAGTCATGTTACATCAGTGACCTCAATAAAAAAGTGTTCATTCTATCATTGTACACTGAAAATCATGGCAAAGTAACCCAGGGCAGCAAGTCTGCAAGAAAACTATTTATGTGATTTTGGTTTGTACATGTAAAAACTGAAGATTCCAATGGTTCCCATCTAAATCCCCCTCTTCAATCTTTCTGCTTAAATTAAGAATGCGAGTCATCATTAAACTCACTGACTCTGTGAAGCAGGCTCCAGATTTCTTAATTATCCTCCATAATCAAAACATTTTTAAGCTGAGATACAAGGCAGAAAAAATACTGGTGGTGGGCTTTGGGAGAGCTACAGTCACAGATATTAATATCTCTTAATTAAAAGTTGGAACATACCCTGAGAATAAGATGTTTTAATTCATCATCTGATAGAAAAGCAGGCTTGTAGTTTGCTTCTGTATATGGGTTTGTAGCACCTAAAGAAAACAAAAAAACAAACAATTCCCACATCATCAACATTACACACTTAAATGAGCAATCTTCCTTTGGCTCCTTCTTAGACTGCTGTTCATCGCAGGAGTTCTTTAAAATGAACTTTTTTGGTTTTGTTTGACTATCAACATGAGCTCTGTTGGTATTAACTTAAAAAAGGATGAAGCTTTTTTTGCTAACACACAAGTACTGCATGAGGTAGAAATGCAAATTAAATGCCTCTGAGATATAAAAGTATTCCTTGACATATTTTTGAACCCAAAGGCTGTCCTTGATTTATGGCCTAGTCTCAGAATTAGAAATTATAAAAATAAGATATTAAAGAGTAAAAACATTCAAACTATTTCTTCTCCTTATAACTCAGTAAAACATGACATGCTCATGTAAACAAATCATCACTTAGGAATTTACAAATCAATTCTCTCATTCCAAGCCAAAGATAAAACCCAGCACTACAATGACATCATCTTACAATGCCAAAACCCCAAAATTGGCAACAAATGAGGCAGCTATTTATTAAAGACTAATTCTTCTCATTCTATTCCCTTCATAAAGGCAGAGGAGTCAAATTAGTAACCACTGAAGTGTTATAAAGTATTAACCTCACCAAGTGACAGTGGCAGGAAAGTTAAGCCTTCCAAAACTGCAAGGCTAAATATGACTGAAGGTACCAGCTCTCCTAGAAATGACAACAATCACCAGGATCTTTTTAACCATTACCTGCATCCCTTTTTTTTTTTTTTGTCAGTAGTGCATTTCTTGGAGGCCTAAAGCTTTTAACACCAGCACCAATTGTACCCAAGCACTGATTCACTCATATGAAGCTTTAGGAACACACAGTGATTTCTCACAACCCCAACTCTTCCAAACCTGTGTGTTTCCCTTCAAGTGCTTGCAACAGAAACTGGTCAAAAAGACCAAAATTAAGTTTTCAAAGTACTCTCTATTCTTTTTCACACAGAGCTAAATGTACAAACACAAAACCTTAGAAGTCCTGTGGGAATATCATACCTAAAATGTAATCTCTCTATCCAACAACTTGGTACATTGCCTGCTTAGAGCAGTGCTCAGTACTGCACCAGAATTAAGTGTGCACTGCCCTTAAGCCCTTTTCTCCCTTGCCCCAGCTGCCTTGGTGCTGTGGAGTCTGGCAGTAGTGATCAATGGGTCAGATGATGGAAAATTATTCTTTTCTCATCCCCAGGTTCCCCCAGTCACATCAGGGTATTTACTGGACCATGAACTAGTAAGCTGTGAATGAACACTGAGCATCAGATGCTAAGAGAAGGGAGGAATCCTCCCAAAATGAATTAACTTACTCCTTTTTGCTAAAAAGGGAGAGGAAAAGCATGACTTTGGGGAAATGCCACTTGAAATGGCCCTGCGGCCCCAGGCAACTCACCACGAAGTGTTTTCATGTGCTGGACAGCCATCCTGAGCACGGTGAGCTTGTCCAGCTTGCGGGACATGGCGTTGCACGTGGGCACCAGCGAGGCCAGCTCGTCTATGAAGCTGTTCATCTTGTCCCTGCGCCTCTTCTCGATCTGGCTGTGAGCCTCCCTGCACACACACACACACAGCAGGGCACGTGAACACACGGAGCAATGCCCAGAGCAACCTCCTCAGGGTGAGTGAGCTACCCTGCTGTCCTCACGGAAAGGATGGCAAACGCTCTTGAGGCATTTGATGTACGTGAACACACGGAGCAATGCCCAGAGCAACCTCCTCAGTATTGTATTTGTGGGGTGCCCAACGAAGGGAGGAGTGATGAATCTAACTCCATGTTCTCAGAAGGCTAATTTATTATTTTATGATACTATATTATATTAAAGAATACTAAACTATACTGTACTAAAGAATGCAGAAAGGATACTTACAGAAGGCTAAAAAGATAATAATGAAACTCATGACTTCTCCAGAGTCCTGACACAGCTTGGCCATAATTGGCCAATAAGTCAAAACAACTCACAGCAAAAACCAATGAAACAATCACCTGTGGGTAAACAATCTCCAACCACATTCCAAAGGAGCAAAACTCAGGAGAAGCACATGAGATAATTATTGTTTCCCTTCTTCTCTGAGGTTTTTCAGCTTCCCAGGAGAAAAATCCTGGGCAAAGGGATTTTTCAGAAAATGTGAGTGCTACACCTCAGGGTGAGTGAGCTACCCTGTCATCCTCATGGAAGGGACAGCAGACACTCTTCAGACATTTGATGTGAATTATTTGGGTAAAGAACAGTTATAAGCAACAGGAAAGGCTGCAGCACAAGCTTGTGGTTTGCCAGAAAACACACCCAGTGTTGGTCAGGTTTATATTTTCCCATATTAAGATTCACTCCTAACACTTTCACAACCCACTATCGAGTCTGAAAGAAGAAAGATGAAGAATGTAACATTACCAGAAACATATCTGGCTTAAATTTCAACAGCAGTGAGGTGATTAAAACCAAGTTACTCACCAAATTAGTTGTTTCACTCTATGCAAACTTAATGAAAAATGTCAACAGTGCAAAGATATTGAAAAATAAGGGAAGGTCAAAGCTAGAAAAAGATATTTTCAGAAGAAGCATGCACAAATAATTCATACATGGCAAAAAGCAAGAGACAGTTCTTTGAAATATATCTGTTTAGAGCATTACCTTGCATTTTTTATCCTGCCTTGTTGGTCTGCATACTCCAATCTGTTGAGAAATGACATCACGAAGTTACAGTGTTGAAAGCACTCAACCAACTCTTTTCCTGCATCTCACATCCTACTGATCCTCATTAAGATCAGGTTTTTTAGAATTTGAATGTTTATTTAACCCTTCTACAGCAAAGATCAGTATCTATAACATTGCACCTCAGACTAGGAGGTGTTTTAGCTTGTCTGCTCCCTGTTGTTTAAACTAAGATTGTTTAGATTATTGCTTCATCCCAGCAAAGCAATAATTTGGGACCACAGTGACACTGAACAGGCATCCCACAGTCAGGATCCTGTGTCAGAGCTGTGGAACTGAGATTTCAGTGACTGTATCAACAGTACCTTCCATGCTGGTCATCTTTATCTGTATCCATACCTTCCCTGCAGAAACAGAACAAAGCAACACATCACAAATTCAGCAGGACTAGCAGAACTGTTATCCAACCACCATAAAGTCAGTATTCCTGCCACCTCTAAATCACAAATGCAAAAATAGGAGTAAAAAAAACAACAACCTGGAAGGACTAAGGAAGCTGTGTGTTTTTTGTAACATTAAAACATTTTCTTAAATTAGTTGTGTCTCCTTCAGAACTCACTAAATGGCACAGTTTGATGTGTTTGACAGTAAAACATGCTGCAGTTCAAAGATATCATCTGTTACAAAAATGTTTTTCAGTTAACTACAGGAGGGGGAAAAAAAACCCAACCTTGTGCACATGCCTTCATGTTCTATAGCTCAGTTTGCCTTATAGTAGTTGTTTTTGGGGTAGAAAATGGTAATAATCTAAATTAACACACCACTGGAGGTGGCCAAATGCAAGAAGAGAATAGAAGTCTGTGTGAAACTAACCAGGCACACTGGAAATTAGTGCAACTTTCAGTGTAGATACATGGTTTGCTTTTGTTTCAACATGAAAGTAAGGAAAGAGGAATGAAGAATAGAAATAATCCCCCTCATTACATTTAATATTGTAGCCACACGTGCACAACTAAGCAGGAGAGGATAGTGTAAGTTTTCATAGCTGCATTTGGTAGAAAAAGCTAAATGCTCATGATTACACATCTTTTTTTAGACAAAATAATTAGGAAGAGGATGTTTTGGTTTACATAAATCTGTACAACTGTGCTCAAATGAACATTCCTAGGCCTGCTCATTCTGTTTTAATTTCTACCTATGAATTTTAAGTCTATGGCAGAAAAAGGCAGGGGAAAAAACACGGGGCATCTTTTTTAAGGTTTACCAATTACTAAAATATTTATACTTACTCAAAAGGAAAGCCATCGAGTCTGAAAAGAAAGAAAAATAAAGTACACCATATATAGGAAATAAGAACAATGTCTTACATTTTCTGCTGAAATTCTCAAGCTAATGCAGATTCTATTTGAAATGAAAAGCACAATGAAAACAGGACAATAGCAGTGAGCATTTTCTAAAGAAACAAGCTTGTTCAAATTAATCTACTTTCTGAAAGAATAATTCTGCTTTTTAAGAAAAGAGAGCATAGTTCATGAGACTTAATGTGAAAAACTAATAAAACAACTAACCTAAATTATGTTATGCAAATCATTGAGATATTGTTTCATCTTCAGAAAGGAAAGATCTGTGCTTTATGCGTGTTGTCCTTGTGGTTAGATAAATGGGATTTCAGAGGACTCTAAGGCCAGAAATAAAACATAAAAATAAAAATAAAGTATCCCAAGTTTCTCAGTTTTTGATTCTTGCCCAGCAGGATAGATGCACATATTGCTTTATTCTTAAGTCCCAAGCTGAACTGTATAAACACTTTATGATATCACAAGGAAATTAAACAGAATTTCTACATGCAAATAACTGCTGGCATCACTTCAAGACTGTAAAGTGACCTGAAATACCACTGAGTTTTACCATGGTAAGAGGCTATGTTTTATAAAAGCCTTATGAAAAAGCCTTCTCAGCTCAGCCAATTCCTGTTCAACACTGGACACGAGCCCTCTTAAAAATAAACCTAAGAGCCTTTAATGTATTCACTGCACCCTTAGATGAATTATCTTTGTGATTAGTTTTAAAATAACATTAATAATGATGCTAAATCTCCCCATCTGCACACCTGAGTTATTGTCTTAGCCACTGACTCCTGCTGCTCACAATTTACCAGCCCTTGTGACACCACCTTTAGCTCTGGGATGTTTGTGTGTTTAAACCCCCAGAAAGCCTAATCTAGAAGAGGTACAAGGTAAGTTATTAATGCAACAGGGTAGTTTATTTTCTCATCATGTAATATTTCAATTGAAAGCATGAATCCCAAGCAAAATTTACTGTTCATAGTCCTGTGCATGAAGCCTTGGACAAGAGCATTTTACCAGCCCTTGCTGAAATGACAGCAATAAGTTGGGCAGGGATTTTCCTGGAGGAATTGCAGCAGAAAGAACTAAAAAGTTGTTGTGGAGAGCTGAAATTGCAGCTGATGACTCCTCTTGCTTGTGTTCAAGAGGTGATCAAAGAAACACCCTAAAACACTGGTTCTGCTTCCCTTACTCCCTGGCTTCACTGGTACAGGAAGCACCAAACTGGATAATTTATGTAATAAAATCATTAACAGGTAGCAGAGGTTGAACAACAGCATTTCTGATCATTTTCCCATATATACACATATAAGGAGGGGTCAAGGTAGTTAGTCTCCCTTAAGTTCTGCTTTCCAAGAGGAACATTTAGTAGCCACCGTTTACTTTGCAACACAAAATGAACTATGGTATGACTACGTGATAAGCAGGGGTATGTCGTGTATGAGTACAAAATAAGTAAACTCATTTTACTAAGGATTCAAGGAAACAGAGTTTTCACACATTTTAAAAAATGCACACAAAACCTAAAGGGCAGAATTATACCTTACAAGAACAAGCTGTCTTTTGGAAAAGAGGACTTCAGTAATGCTTCCTACCCAGAGGAACAGAAATGGAGAAATCCTTTCTAGAGAAAAGGAAGATGGTAGGATTGAGGCTGATCACTCAATTTTGTAGTAGTCAATTCAGCTAGAGGGACACATGTGCTTCTCAGGGAGATTAAAGGCAGTTCAGAGAGGTATTTAAATATTTTGTGCCTAAGTTCTCCTAAAAAGAATCTAATTTTTAATTGTAATGCTCAGCATGGATTAAAAAGTCTGCTCCTCCTCGTAAAAAGAGCTGCCAACAATCCAAAGGCCCTCAGCAATAAAATCTGAGCTAAGTTACATAAAAATGGATTCTGTGGCTGGATGAATAATGGATGTGGCCACTCACAAGTTCCCCTGCAGCCACACTTTGTAAAGTTACAATGCAGAGGAGGTTTGCACAGGCACTTGCAGTAAGTAGGTTGCTCTTGCTGTTCCCAGTGCAGGTCTGGGAGTCTGGCAAACTCTGCTGTGCCCTTCACTGTTCTACAGCAGAGGTGGTAGGATTTCCTTCTACTGCTGAGAACCACTAAAAGATTAAACCAGTTGATTAAAAGAAAGACAGCTCTAATACCTCAAACCAGAGACTATTCAGATTCATATTCAAATGAGAGACCAAAATAGCTTCATCAGGTAAAGGCTGGCAGCACACTGATAGGAAGTGACTAAATAGGCAAAAAATAGGTGAAGAAAAGGAACTACTCCTAGTTTTGCTTCCACTTTCCAATAAATTTATTATCTTCTCCTTCTGTTAGTCAAACATTGTACTTCCTATGTAAATGGTCAATATAATCAACCTCCACACAGTACATTTCATCAGTACTAATTCCATTCCCCCACCAGCCAGAAGTTTTTCTCCTCACCCCATTTGATAACCCTCAATTCTAGCTGCACTGAGATGACAGCTTTATTTTTATTATTAAATAATGATCTTGGCTCTTAGTGCATAGTAGCTCTCTTCTTTATTAAAACCTTTAAAGCAGATTGTAAAGAAGAGGTTATTTAAAAACTGCTATAAATATGTCTGTAGTCTTCCCCAGTGTATTGTTGTGTTGCCACATCCTTTTAGCAGTGCTAAATCAAGAGAAATCCAACTTACTGATAATCAGTTGAGCTTCCCTTTCTTTTCCTATTACAGTCCATTCCTGAAGTGCTAAGGGAACTGGAGATCAAGTCAGCAGGGTCTGGTGACATAAAGTCACTAATTGTAGAAGATATGTCCATCCTTTGGTCTGCCATTGGACTGTCTAACATCAGGGAAGAAATAAAAAACAACCCCCCAACCAAAAAACACTGCATTAATATAAGCAGACACACATTTTTAACCAAAAGAGCTATCTCAAACTTAGCAGTCTTAAAAAAACTGCAACAATCAGTTTATATTTTTTCCTCTTCCTGTAAAAAAAAAAAAACAGGTAATTTCTCCTTTTCCAGTTACTGCTGTATGCAGTATTGCACACAAACCACGACCATTCTCAAAACACATTATGTAACACAATTGTTTCTAAAGATTTGTCAGAATGATCTTGAACTAAACCAAGCTTACTCTTATGTTAGCTGGTCAGCCAATTGCTTCTTTCTAACAGGAATATTTCTGACAGGGAACACTTGTTTTAATGTGTCTCTGCATTTGAAGATCATAAAAGAGCTCACAAACTTTTAAAGTTCTATTTCCACTGAATTCAGAACATTTCTATAGAAATAAACACCTCTGCACAGCAGACTCCACAAATAAAAATATTATAACCCAATGATGGTGGTCAAACAAGTCTAGTTAAAGGTACAAATTAATCTAATTGGCTTTTTAATCCTTTAGACTGCAAGTAATTCAAATCTTCACTATTTAATCCTCCAGACTGCAAATAACTACACCGTTGGAAGAAACCCTGAGAAAAGCTCCCTGCCAAACAGCACCAACTGAGAAAGAGAAGAGGTTTTACCTGAAGGCCTGTCTTGGAAGCCTAAATCCACTTGGGCAAAGATGATGATGCTCAGCCCAAAGCAGCTGATAACCTCAGAACTCTTCCTTGCCTCATGTTCTGTCGGTCAATTACTTTCAAAAACCTGAATGGGAGGAAAAACCAGCAAGCTTAAAAAACACCTTAAAAACAATTGGTTTAGACACAGTTTACAAAAGCAATAGATGTTTCCAACCCAGGGATCAAACACACATTTCCTTACAAAGTGTAGAAGCTTCATCCATCCATCCAAAGGGTTAGCTGTTGGGATGTGCATCTCCAATGGACCAAACTTTGGGCAGAAGGAATCTCTGGCACCGCCTCCTTTGTAGCCCTTTTTACCATGCTCTGGTCTTTGCACAAACCCCCTCTGCTCACAATGATCACAGGATGACAATCATGAGCACATTTGCTGCCAAATGCTGCCAGAATGTGTTAAATAGCTGCCACAGAGCAAAGGACAGACTTACTGCCTTACTCTAAGGGTGGTCCTAGGTTTAGGCTTGGCTTACTGTTTTGTTTTCCACTGTAACAGCCGTTAGCATCTTCGAAGGACAGGGGTTAAACATGGCTTTATTCTGCAGGCTTCAAGTTTTATACAAAATGCACATGGCCATACTCAAGCCCTCAAATGTGACTCCCAACTGTACTACAAACATGTGGATGTCCTTTCCTTTCACGTGCTGTCACAAACCAAGTTTTTCAGCAAAACTTGCCATGGAAAATTTAGATACTGACATTTTTCTCCTGCAAGAAAACTCCCAAAGTCCATTGGACACAGAGTTTTCTGGCTGATGTGCCTGTGAGCATCCTGACTGTCCAAGTACACAGAACAAGCAGCTCCCGTGGCACTCTCAGAAGTTTACAAGCCAAACATCCTGTCAACGTAATCACACTGTAACCAATTCTGCTGAAGCAGGTATGTAGACATGGTATGAGTTATTAGCAAAAAAAAAAAAAAAAATCTAAAGTTGCTTGTTATCATTTTCTTCAGCTCTGCCAGAACAGCAAATTCAGAATTTCATAAGCTTAAATTATCTAAATTTCTAGTCCTGGCACTGCAAGGTCAGGCAAGTCACTGTCTTGGTACCACCAACTACTGAAGGATCACTGTTGTTCCAGCAGCAGAGCATCCAGACTGTTGCTGAGGGCTCATTGTCCATCTCACCCAACAACTCCTCTGTGGTCCTTTCCCAAATAACCTAATCCCTTTTCCATTTTTGAGGATGTGTGGACATACTGGTAGAGGCACATTAAGAGGCCAGCTGGCAGCAGAACTAACCAAAGCTAAATCAGTACAAATTTAAGTCAAATTATGAAATGCCACTGAATCCATAACCACATTTGTTTTGCAAGGCTTTCATTCACATAGCTATCTGTAGGTCAGGCCCTACTATCTCCCCACTTTCCCAGCTGTCTGCTTTGTCTCTCTTAGCCCCAGCAGCCAAACAGCTGCAGACTTAATGGTGTTACTGTGGTGGACGAGGTGGCTGCATCTCAATTTACCAGTAAAACCAGTCACTGGCTGTTTCTCTGTGCTAGGTCCAGACCCAAACTCCTTATCTTCAGTATCAGTTGATGTGCAGAAATTAGTTATAGCTAAACTTAGTGTGCTTCTGAACACCCCTCTGTGTGAGGGTGCTGGCTGAACTCACATTTTACTATATTAGGTAACTTCATGGACCACCTACGATGACCTCAGACAGAAGGCTGGGATGAGCTGGAAGGAACAAAGAGAAACGGGGGTGGGGGAAAAAGGGTTTGTAAGTTTACCCCAGTCCTCTCTCTTTAAGAATGCCTGCAACAGTCAGCATTTTAGCTTCAGAACCAGAACACTGCACAAGTCACCATGCACCAATGCAAAAACCAAATTGTTATTCATCTCAAACAAAAATGTCATATCAGCATTACAGAAAAAAAATTTAAATCAGGTATTCATTTAGCTGTGCCATTTTATACCTGTCTATATTTGATAGTTTCAAAGCAGCTATTTTAAATGTCTTGACCATTTGAGCAGAAAAAAAATACATAAAGAGCAGAATTCTCAATTTAATTTTCAGTCAGCCCTTTCTCTACCATGTCCCAAATGCTCACCCAGTCCTAACAATCACAGTCCTACATTTTAGCATTACAGGAGTTAAGAACTATGCATGTCTCTTGAAATGAGTTTTAAAGTTAAGAAGACGTCAACTCAATGATCAGAGCAAAAATCAGCATGCCCCACTAAATAGTGAACAGTTCAGAGAAATGTTTTTTCACAAGGCTCTCTTAAAATTCTAGGAAATTGAATATTTTCTGTCTTTTCAGCCTCCATCTGCTGGATGTTCAATGCCTAAGAAAAATTCTCTCTTGAGGAGGACCACGGAAGTTACTCATATATTTAAACAAAGTTCAAACCTTCCATTTATGATGCCAAACTTGTTGCCAAAGTACTCTAAGGACCTACTTGAAAAAAATGCCATGGAGTCTACTTCCTGTTTGAATTCTCCTGCAGACGAGAATCAAATGGTATTTTGTCACTGTATCCATGACAGTTTGTCTCTACAGTAGTTTGGAACTACTTCCTCGGGATTCCCCTTCCTTGCATTCCTTATTCCTCTGATCCCCTGAAACAAGGCTAATGAGACAGCAAAAATACATCTTACTGTTCGTCCCTTAAAAAAAAAAAGTGAGATGACACGTGACCAGCTTAATCATGCAGCAAAGCTGATCACGAGTACACAAACACCTCTGAGCAAATCAAGGTCACTGCTAAAGTAGGTCAACTCCATGAGCCAAGCACCCACCCAGAGTCAGGACCTCTTTCCACAAGCCCCATCAGCTCTGGCTCCCCCCAGGCAAGAGGCAGCCGTGTCCAAGGCACGCACGGATTTATTCTGAAAGAAATGCAATTCATAACTTTATGAATCACGAGTGTCTCGTATCTCAAAAGTGCAATTTCGCAATGACAGAGGAAAACCGTGGTGTGGTTTCCTGAAGAAGTCATTGTAAGGATACTCACTGTCCCTGTGGGGAATGACTGAACCAAAAACAGCCCCAGAAAGGAAACCATCTACTTCCCTTCACAGCAGTACTCCATTGCTGGAGTTAAGTGTCACAGCACAAGCTGGTACAAAACACAAAGAGGTTCTTCATCTTCTCTAGCAGCAGTTTGCTGCTGCTGGAGGCTCCCAACACACTTGCACTTGGTGGTGGGGAGGTTTCAGCTCAGCAGCATGAGGACTCCAAGTGTCCCCAGGATGATCTCAAGATGCAGACCAGTATCCATGGGCTCAATGCTGCAAGTAACATCAGAGCCTTTGTTATGGAATACTCCATAGGAATCACAGGAAGATCTCTGAAGTAAAGCAGGGTAGTTTCCTTTGCCCTCAGTACTTAAGGAATACCTAAGTCAGAATATTTCCTATCTTCCCAATATATTGATACTGTTTGGTTTTAACGGCTCCCTAACACCATTTGCAAGTACTCTGTACTCACAGAAGACAAAAAGTCCTGTGGCTTCCTCTCACATGCAGATGCACCTCACCACACTCTCTGGTGCAAAGAAGGGATTTTACCATGGCTTGTTTGTTGAGGTCACCCTTTTACCACCAAGTCCTCAGCATGCCCATCTGCTGGAATCCTGGATGCTGAGATTTTTAAACTTTCTGGGCTGAAAGGCACAGACCCACAAGAGGACACTGCATTTGACCTGAGGCTGTGGAGAAAGCTTCCAAAATTGATTGATAGCATTGGGATTATGGGTGTGTAGTTGGTTAGAAGTGTGTAATATCACAGGGTGGAAGACTTAGAGTTTGGGATTTTAGAATATAGAAATAAATATGAAGCAAGACAGAAGTTTTAGGGTAGAGGCAGGTTCTTCTTCTTTACTTTCTTCTTCCTTCTTCTTCATAGGTTTGAGTGATGTTTTGTAATTGGGCAGAAGTCCACATTGTGGGCTTCCAGGGATCAGTTATTGGGTTAAAAGGGAAAATAATTTAGGTGTCAGTTCTTAATTGGATAGTTTAGTCTTAAAAGACCTTGTAACAAGAGATTGTTGGCCATTTTGTGCTTTGCTAATGAAAAGCTGCCGAAGTCATGGTTGTGAGACTGTTTTATTGATAAGAAATAATAAACACCTGAATCCAAACATGAACTGCTGTCTCAAGTGCCTTCAATCCAGAGAAACCAATACCCATCAGCCCCTGGCAGCCTGTGATTCACATCTGAATTTTGGAACTCCTCCTGACATCAGCAGCTCATGTTTGGACCCTGACCACACACCCAGAGCTGCTCCAGCGTCCTGCAGCCCCTCACAACAGGGCAGGGGGATGCCCTGCTCTGTGGAGGGCAGAGGCACAGCCCTCAGCTGCCCAAGAGACCCCCTCTTCCAACAGCTGCTCCCAATCTTTCCTGAGAAAAAGTAGCAGGCTGGAGGGAAGCAGCCCATGAATTTTAACCAGCCACAAAGCTACAAGTTAAGCAAATTTGACATGGAGGGGAAAAAGTCTCCAATCAACAGAAGAAAAACTCCACGTGCAGTTTCTCAGTAGATCAATCTGTCCAGGTACACTCCCACACCAAAAGCATCTCTTCATCAGCAGAGTCTCTGAGAAAAGGCAGAACAGGTCACATCATGGCATCACCTCACAGCTTTCCAGAGTCTCTCAGTGGAGATGGAGACACACAACAATGCATTTTATCTTGTTCACAGAACACTGAGACTCCCAGATCAAGAAGGGTCTTGGTTCCTATCTCTCCTCGTTTATGAGGGAAAGTACCTCAATCTTTACTTCCAGCTACTTTAACAAAGGACTTCTCATGTCCCAAAACCAAGAATAAGTGCTAACTAAAAAACCTTCCTCTTGCACAGGGGAGCTCAAAACTAGACCAGAACACAGAAGTGTTTCAGCAGCACTCAGTAAATGGGAAGGATCACTTCCCCAGCCTGCTGGCAGCACAACTCCTGATGCAATCCAGGAGGCTCTTGGCCTTCTTTGCTGCAAGGGCACCCTTGGTGGTTCATGAACCATGAATACCTTTTCTGCCAAGCTCTTTTCCAGCTGTTCAGTCCCTAATCTGTACTGAGACATGGGGTTTTTCCTCTCCAGGTGCAGGACTTGGCATTTTTCTTTGCTAACCTCCTAAGGTTCTTTATAAAATTTTTGGGGACCCTTCTCTCTGGTCTGTAGAGATCCCCCTGCTTGGTAGCACACTCACGCGGCGTCTCAAACACATTTCCCAGGTTTGCACTTGTCTGCAGATCTAAGTATAAAGTTTCAGATAGCATGGAAGGAAAGGAAAACAGGCTGGTTCTGGAAAGAGAATCCAATAGAATTAAACAACCTCCAAAAATCCTAGCTCATGCTCTTTTCTAAGTGAAGCAGATAAAT